AAAAAAAAAAAAACCACCCAGAAACGAAAGGCCCAAAATGAAGAAAACACTGACAATAGTATGCTAAGAACAATACTGTTCAGCAGGTTGATTACCTGAGATTAGCAAACCCGGGGAGAGGGGTCTGCCCCTGCCAGCCAGGAACCTGGTTAGGGGAGACCCCTCAGCTCCCCTCAGCACAGAAGAGCCAAGCACCCAAGCTCATTTCTTAACTGACGCTTGTCCTTCTCACAGTTTATCTGGTAATTTAACAAGGTCTGCTTCATTAAATAGGACAGAGACAGAGACGTTTCCAGAATTACTTACAGGTCATCCCCTTGGAAAGGCCGATCATCTTTCTCAGATGCCTGCCTCACTGCCTCTTTCTCTCTCTTCTTTTTCTCCTTCTTCTCTTTCTTGGAGAGAGTTCTCTTGAAGTTCTGGATAACACCTTCTTTCTCCTGCTTTTCAGGTCCATTGCTTTGAGCCTTCTGATAAAAGTAACATCATCACTAAGGCAGCTGTCGGCACAGAATCACAGAAAGCACTCTCTGGCCTAGCTGACTTCCTCTTGATTACAGCCAAAACCCAGCTCCCGAGACAAGGAAAGGTCTGGGGGATGGAGAGGTTCTTTATCTTGACTGGGCTGACGGCTACAGGCGTGTATTTACCAAAACTTACACGTTCAAGATCTCCGCATTTCACCACGTGTATCTTTTACCTCAATTCAAAATGAATATGCAAGCAAGCAAGCAAACGGAAAACCAAACCCAGTAAAGAAAACCGGAGTGGGACTCAGGAAACCAGATTTTCAATAAATAAAATTTAAGTTACACATAATTTTAAGTTACTTTAAAAAAAAAAAAGGAACCTAATCAAAATACAGAAATAGCTAAGTGTTTAAATCACTATCTACTTCATACGTGATTTTTCTAACCTTAGAACAAATATAGGAGTAGCCATAAGAAACTGGCTTTTTGGATGCAAAACTAAGCACTGTTTGTGCAAAACTCTGTATCTTCTTTTCCAGATCTTATTTGCTTGCCTACTCTTAATTTACAACTTGGCCTGCGAGCAGATGACACAGAGACAAAAGTTTTTTTTTATCTAATTAATAGGTCGACTGTGAACATTCGAGACTAGCCAAGAAAGGTTCCTGTACTGGGAACTAAACTGCCCTCCGCTTCATCGACGCTGGCGCCCCATCCTTGCCACCAGCTACGCCCGTGCTGTCCTCACCCGAACGAGGGCTCGGGTGCCCACGAATGAGCCTCTCTGGCCCACAGCGGGGCACTCAGCTGAGGTCACGGTGCAGAGATGAAATAAAACACGGGCCAGAGAAGAAAGAAGAGGGATGCCCGTTATTACTTCACAAGAATCTGCTACAAAAGCAACAGGCACGAGAGCAGAGAACAAGAAAGGCCAAGAACACTCCTCAACATGGAGCACCCGCGTCACGACACCATGAAACTCTCGTTTCCAAAAGGGAGTAATGGCACTCATGTCCCAACCTGTTGGGGACTTTTCTCTAAGTGTTCTTGACCTCTGCGTTTGCTACCACTTTGTTTCACACAGAAATTATCGTTATTTTCCAGCTTGACCCCTATTCCATAGTGTTCCATGGAAAACAACCAGCAGCACAGGAGCTCCGGACACCTACTGCCTGAGAAAGTTTTAGAATCACTCAATTACGTTAACCCAAGAAAGTCTACATACAACACGGAAAAGGTTTTCACTGTACCTTATGAAGTTGTACCTGAAAATTCACACATAAATAAATAGGTTATTAAAACTTTACTTTCCCTTCTGATTTTTACTAAAACAGATTTGGACTTTATAACTTGGTAAAAACAAAACAAAACAAAACTGGTGGTTACTTCATCATTAAATCTCTTAATAACAAAAGCTGACCTAATGCTTCTTTGGAAAAGTAAAGGGCAACATTAGGCATTATTCAGTGAAACAGGATGAAACAGAGAAGCAGGGTTCTGTTTACATTTTCTTCTGCACGAAGGGTCATTCAGGTCATTTAAGAAGAGAAGCAAAAAGTGAAGCCCTTATCACATTCACATGACATGTGTGTTTCGGCAACCCTGGGCCCGGGACACGGTCAGCACGAGACCTGGACGGAACGTACCTTAGGAGGAAGGGCATCGTTCTCATTCTTAAGAACGAACCTGCCCTCTCGATCGTCTTTATTCCAATTCAACTGCACAACAAGGGGTTTCTCATCTACATCCAATCTTCTTTCTTCTTCAAATAATGAAATGAAAAAAAATTAAGTCATGGTTACTTAACAGCACTAGCTAATAAAACGTTCTGACATACGTTTCATTTCCTCCCTTATAAGGTAATAAAATCCCTCATTACCACCAGTACTAACAGGCTGAAATGTAATCCAAAATAGCAAGCGGGAGTTTTAATGATCTACTATTGTGTTGGTACTAGAACACATACTACCACGTACCCAATGCCAAACACTGACCAGGGATAATTTCCTTACAACATTTAGAATCCAGTTGGGAAAAGAGAAATGCACACAAAGTAGAAGAAAACAGAGGGCTCCGCGAAGCCTCCCTCTGTAAACCATCTCCTGTGCAGCTGGAGGCTAAGAGAGTAACGTTAAGAGGACACAAAGTTCCGCTGACCTCCGTGACAGCTCCTCGCAGGCCCGGGAGCGAGTGACCGTGGTGCTCGCCCTCCTGGCTCCTTCCGATCCTCCCACGCTCGCCACCCAGCCCTCAGGTCACCTAGAGAAGCCACCGTCCCGTCCCTCGGTTCCGACAGCGTGCCACTACGTTTAGCGTGTTCCTTCTCGCTTGAGTTCTAGTAAGTCCCGGGGCCCACAGAGGGGCTCCTGCAGAGCCCGCTCACCCGGACAACCTACCGCAGCCTGCAAGGAGGTCTTTAGCAAACACAGGAGACAGAGGCCAGCTGAAGAAGTACTGTGGTCAAGGAAGCAGGAGTCAACAGGACAGACTTAAAACAAAGACTGATAAAGACTTTTAGTAAGTACTATACGCAAGCAGATTATAAGAATACAGAAATAATAAGTTCTAATTTGTTTTATGAACTGAAAAAATGAGAGATGAAAAATCAGAGCAATAAATGAGGGACTGGATCAAGAAGTTTGAAACTGATGCTACAAACCAAAATTACCCAGTTTTTCTTGTCGCAAGATTTGTACTATATCAAAATCCTTCACGTGCATTTTTTAGAGAGCTAGTTTTAACAACAATCAAGTCTAAATCATAAAAGTAAAACAAAACAAGGGTGAGCCATTCTAACGTGCGTGTGGCAAACCAGGAAACGGAAGTACAGTCAGGGTCCCTACTACAACTTTGTAACTTGAAGATACCTTTCTGCCTCAGTGGTTTTTGTTTGTTTGTTTTAAAACAGCACAATTTTTGGAAAAGTATTTTCCAATTGAGTTCACCAAGGAATCCTACCCACAAAAAGGGTAACGGTGGAGTTTCCCTGGTGGTGGATGTGCGCGTTGGGCCCAGAACTCAGCCCTCGGGAGCGGCGGTCTCCAAACGTGCACCAAGGCTCCCTGCACACTCACTGAGGAGCCTTTTCAGTTTTCAGGGGAACAAGTCACACCCGCTGCAGGCAGCCCACGTGCATAACAGGCCGCACGGTCCCTCCCCCTGGCAGCGCCCCAGACCTGCCCGGAGAGGGATCGAGGGCCCCGCTCCCCACCCAGGGGCCAGAGGCACACAAACCCCATCAGGCAAGAACGGTCATTAAAAATGGAATGAGAATTGTACTTTTCCTTTCATTTTCTGTGCACTATTTTCCAAACACGTACCAAGTTGTTAGCGCATAAACAGTCCACAACTTGTCTGAATCTAACTACTCAATGAAACGAGCCCCGCCCCCGACGCCCCTAGGGCTCTAGGACGTGAAAGCACAGAGCGTGGACAGAGGGCTCCTCCTGGCGTCAGGGGCACAGAGGGAGCCCGCTGCTCCGAGTGCAGGGGTGCGGATGGCCAGAGCCACACGGTCCCGGTGTGCCGCTCACCGCGGGTACAGAGGAGACCGCCTCCAGGCACCTTCGCCGAGTTTTCACCTCTTTACCGCAACACAGTTTACTTTTTAATTAAAGAAAATTTTAAGGAAAAAGTTGTAGTTTCTTCTCAACAACCTAGTTATAGTGATTCTGAGCTAAAGGAAAAATTCAACCTCAGAAAAACCATCCAAAATTAAGGTTATCCTCTATCATCAAATCTAGCTTTGGTGTGGCTTATGTAGTGGGATCTCCTCATAATGTTGAAAGAGTAACAAACAAATACGGCCTGTATCTCCTACTCTCCAAGGGAAAAGTGTTTGGTCATACCTGAATTCCATGCAGTACAAGAATTCTTACCCTATTTCAAATATACAAAGAAAGCTGCAATATTGAAGTCAAGACAAATAACGCATGTTCAAAGAGTATTTCTCGATGGAACTTAACAGGTATTTAAATTGGGTTTCTGCTATATACGTAATCCTTTAGTTGTTGCATTAATTGGAATCTGTATTTTTAAAAAAATTTTTTACATCTATTTTTGAGAGAGCATGAGCAGGGGAGGGGCAGAGAGAGGAGACACAATATATTTTATAGGGGACTCAATATTTCCACAGCACTCATTAAAAAATGTATAAATTTCTACATCTCTAATGTTTGTTTTTGAAGAGTGAGCAAGCACACACACGAGAGCCAGAGAGGGGGGTTGGGGCGGGGGGGAAGGGGGAGAGAATCCCAAGAAGGCTCCATACTCAGCGCAGAGCCCAACACGGGGCTCGAACCCATGAACTGTGAGATCATGACCTGAGCCAAAACCGAGTCGGATGCTCAACCGAGCCACCCAGGCACCCCAAATTTCTACATTTCTAATCAGTCCAACTTAAATTGCCATCTCATATGTAGGATATTTTCAAAAATTTCAAACATTAAAACAAGGAGAAATGACTACATAAGTTTCCCCAAGATACCCTAAGTATTCCAAATAAGGAAAATATATAATCTCACATTACAAAAATACTCATTTTTGTAAGATTGAGGATTCATGCCCATAATATTTTAACCGGATTAAATTGTAGTATCATAATCTATACATAAAAGTTACAGGAGAGGCACCTGGGTGGCTCAGTCAGTTAAGTGTCCAACTTCGGCTCAGGTCATGATCTCACCGTTCCTGGATTCAAGCCCCGTGTCGGGCTCTGTGCTGACAGCTCAGAGCATGGAGCCTGCTTCTGATTCTGTGTCTTCCTCTCTCTCTCTCTGCCCCTCCCCGACTCATGCTCACTTTCGCTCTCGAAAACAAACATTAAAAAGTTAAAAAAAAAAAAAAAAAAAAAAAAAAAAAAGTTACGTGAACTAGTTCTCCAAAAGCAAGTAACATACGGTTTCATCAACGTGTATGGGAGCCTAGATCCACTGGCGAGTTTTAACGATGAAACGTCACGCTAGTTCTTTGAAGAAAATAAGTGTACGATACATCCATCCTAACTTCCACCAAATCTAATTCCCGGGATCCTGTCTGAACGTTTCGCAGACGCACAAACACCCCCCAACGTCCCCAGGAAGAGAAGGGCCAGCGGCAAAGCAATGCTGTGACAGAGATGCGCTCTGCACACAGGAGTGGTTCAGAAGTTGTCTACACAGCAGAGGCTACCCCGCCAGTACCCCGTGTGTGCACACTGACCTCCGCTGACGTGAACTTCGTAGAGGGAGTACTTGGGGGACGACAGCATCCGCATGTCAGGGCGGAATTTCTCTGCCAGCGTCTCGATCACGTCTTGCGTGGTGGCCGTACTAGAGACCCGAATGCATTTTGTTGCAAAGTTTCCAGCAGCTTTATCTTGAAAATAAAATCTCATTACGCCATGAAACTCCAAATCCTAAAGGAAAACAGAAAGGAAAAACATTCTAAAATAAGATTCAATTTCTAGAATAAAAAGTCATTCACCATCCTTAAAAGATGTTTCATTACTGCAAACATCTGAGACAGAAATGGAGAGACAGGGTTTAGTCTTCAAACTGAATCACGTGACTTGGGACAAGTTATTTACAACCTGCGCTTTACTGGTCTCACGTATACGACAGTGGCCGTGGAGCAGCTGACGTCAACGACAGCTAATATTAATGAGTCTCCAGCCAGTGCCAGGCACACGCCGACACGCGCTACTTGGCTGTGTCTTTAGAAGGACGCGGGTTAGCAGATTCACTACTAAACTCTGTTTTCAAGACTCGGTCATTGAAACACAAAGTTTAAGGATCTTGCCCAGTTATGCAGCAAATCACAGTTAAAATCCAGACCCACAGATCCCCAAAGTCCATGCCTAGCAATCCCTGAGGTCCCGTCCAGCCTCCAAATCATAAAGCCTAAATGAAGGGATGACTCAAACCACAAAGGAAAAATGTTAGCCCCAATTCTAACATGAAAGTGAATGGATGGAAACTCTTAGCCTTTGCAGAATCGAAACTAATTTTCATATGAACTACTGCCCAAAATCAATGAACACGGTTTTTCTCAAAACCGGACTTCTCGAGATAAATACGGTGGGTCTTACAAGCAAGGGAACTGTAACGTGGTCTGGAGCTGGAGCTGTGCAACTATAGGATGCCCGTTCCCGTGATTTCTTTTCCCTTTCTGGTCAATTAAAATGCAGGTTATTTCAGTGAAACTCCTGTCAGCTTCCAGGCCTTCTGCTATAACCCAAGACTCAGCGGTTCATATCCCACAGGCTGAACCACTACATCAGAGGACCTGGGGGACACTGGACCTGGGGATACAAGGGGGCAAGGTCCTGCGCTCCTGTGTACCCCACTGTTTCCCCGAACACAAGAAAAGCACAGCTCCAAACAAACTTCCAAGCAGCATTCCACCTCGTCTGCCCTCACTGCCCTCAGCACCACTGACAATTCTTCCCTCTTCTCGCCTTCCACACTGGCACATCAAGTCATTCCACCGTCAAAATACATCTAGAATCCACCCACAATTTTGTTAAAAGTCAGATCAGGTCACTCCTCAGCTTTACTCCTGGCAATGGCTTTTCTATGGGCTCCAAGCCCATCACAAGTAAGCTTTTCTGTCCTCCCAACCTGCTCACTTAATTCTTCACTAATTAACTATGACCTAGTAATTATAACAATTACGGGATATTAGAATGTGGTTAACTATATAACCTGGATGAAAATTAAAACAGAAAACAAGACAATAAGGCCTATTTATAGCCCCGAAGCTTTACTGTACTTGCTCAGGCCCCGTCCGAACACTAGGCAGTAGTTAATTTCCCATTTCCCACTGCCCCAGGGGAAAATACAGAGAAAGCGAGCATGTGTTAAAAAAAATTAAGAAAAATAAAAAAAAATAAAAAAAAATAAAAGAATGCCATGGAACCACAGACCTTGGGTTGAAGTAAGGCCATGATTATGGAAGGGAGACTGAAAACAGCTTTATGAGTTAGCAAAATGGGAGCTCTATCAGTCCTGCTTTGGTCTCTCCAAATGATAAACTGCTTCTCTGTCCAGCCTGGTCAAGCAGCAGAGAATGTTGAGCAGTATCCTCTTTAAATGCTCTTCTCCGTCTCTGGTGTTACTCTGGCAATCCCCAACACCTTTGTAAAGTAACCACGCGCGTGCAAGATGGTCCTCAACTGTGAGTCTGTGTAAGTACCGGTTAGTATTCGTAACAGCCCACCCTCGCCAAGTGCCCGGTGGTGCTAAGCACCTGCCGTTACTCGGCGGCCCCAGTCCTCCTCAGCTCCCGGCCTCTCTCCACTCAAGCCACAATTTCCACTTCTGGGTCTACTCTCCCCGTCCACCACCTCCTCAGATGTCAGAAAACAATAATTACTGACTGTATTTAGCTGTACAGATGTTAAGTCGTTATTACGGGAGTCCCGTGTTTACCCCAGGGTTCTGGCGCTCCAGTCGCCACCACTCCGAGATCGTCTTTACCCTACAGCCACAGTCTCCGACAGGAGCCGGCAAAACCATCCAGCTCTTCCAAGGGCTCCTGCTCTATAGACGAAGCAAGACCACCAGGCAAATTCACCTCCCACCCAATCACTTTGCTAACAGGATAGTTTCCATCATTTGTGACAAGACTAAAACCGACAGATGTACCTACGGATCCCAAAGACAGGAAGCACCCCTTTCCCAACTACCAGAAATGAAAGATTTGGGAAGGAACACCCAACTGGGCAAGAGCACAAAGGGAACAAGGATGTACCGACGAGCACGGGGAGGAGGAGGTCCCTCACCCTCAAGAAAATCCCTTATAGAGAGATTACTACTGTTTATAGGGAAAAAAGTGGAAATACAAGTCTCCATTATCAACGTGGTTCAGCTACTGATCGCACATAAAACGTTGAAGTAAATGGAAAAAAAAAGAGTAAACTCAAGGGTAGAAATCCAGCAAGTAACAGCACTTCCACCTGCAAAGAACTAGTATTTCCGTTGATGTTTTTAAAGAAACAAGTTTCCAGGTTCTACCAAGCCTAAATAAAGTGGCCTACTAAAACTACCTTTAAATTCACTAGGTAAGCGCTAATCGAGATTAACTCTGAGGGGCGGCTAGTGGCTCAGTTAAGCATCTAGCTCTTGATTTCTAAGTCATAATCTCCCAGTTCACGAGATGGTGAGACAGGAGCCCTGCGTCCACACCCCTCACGGAGCCTAATTCTGGCTCTCCCTCTAGCCCTCCCCTTCGCACAGTGCTTCCCTTCTGTGACTAAGTCCACAGAATTTTCAGACCCCAGAAAACCGATAAAACCAAGTTCTTGAACCTAAGACTTCTGCATATAACGACCAAATTAACAACTAATAGTAACGTATATTAAGGGCAACCATATGCCCAACACTAAGAGCTCAGCATTGAATACCTCAAACATGAATGAGATACCTTATCAAGGGGTTAAAAAAGAAGGTTCCCCAGACAGGGAGGGTGTGTGAACTGTAACCACACAGCTCCCCGAGGGCAGAGCTACCCAGGAGCTGCCCCGGAAAACCTGCACTTTAAACCCAAGCTCTGCAGCCCCGCCAGTTTCAACACTCACTCCACCACGGGAAGGAGGAACACAGGACTCTTCTCCTTCATGACAAGCGCAGGAGGAGGAGTTCCGGGAGAAACGGTGAAGAGAAGAAACGAGCCCACGCCGCGCAGGAGCCTGCTCCACCTCGTCTAGGAGCCCACGAGCCTGCCCGGCGCACAGGGCGATGGGCACCTGGGGGTTCGCCTCAGGGCACAAAACAGCTGGCATCTCAGCCGAAGAGCTGTATCTGAGTGACTTATCTGACACGTGTGAGCTCAAATTTCCTTGATTATAATCTGAAAGTAAGAAGCTTGTTTTGAGGAGTAAACTCCATAAAGAACCAGCCGTCAGAGGTCCCACTTGAATGGGAGCTTTCCCGAGGGACCTCATTCATGGTTCTAGGCCCTCCCTCAGTCTCTAATATGATGCTTCACATGTAAAATTAAAAACAGATTTGAGTCAAAAGTTCCAGTAACAGTATCCGATTCTTCCAGCTTTGGTTTGTCTGTTCTCCACTGGTAAGAGCTCGGGAACAAAACTTTACACCTGTGAGAAATAACTATCAAGTCTCGATCACTGGACTGATGTTCTGATAATGTTGCAGACTAATACAGTTACAATTTTACACAGACCAATGTTTCCTTAAAAAAAATCTTTATGCAAATTACCCGAGACAACAATATTTAAAACGAAAACACACTACTGTGGGTCCTCCACTCTCTAAAGGAGTGCCTACTTGCGAGCAGCATGTTTTCAAGGAAGAAACCTCTGTTTGGAGCAGGTAGGACGGCAGGTCCTGTGACTTTAACCTGCACGGTCCCTGCGCTGTGCACTCTCGCCACAACAATCTGCGTGAAAGGCAGAAGATACGTCAGCTGTTCCCTTCTTTATTCTTCCCGACGGGAAAGCAAGGTTCTTTCCTAAAGGTGTATATTTACCTTTGCATAAACCTCTGCCTGAGAAATATCATCCACAAGGATTACTGCCGTGGAAATGAAACACTTCGGGTGGATTTAACGACAACTCTGAAACAAAATTTTAGTATTTATCGGAAACAATAGACCAAAAAAACCAATACAACAAAAAACCCCCACAAAACCAGAGACAGCTATTTTAAGTTACTAGAGAGCCAATGCAAAGAACACAGGATTAAAGGTGGAGATTTGCTTTTAAATATTTTACCAGTATCTCAATCAATGAAATTGATAATCAACTGGCCTTCTTCTCCAAACCAGTAAAAACTCACCAGGGCAGCCCCAAATCTCCTCTTGCTCAAGCTACCCAGAACCGTTTGTTCTAAACAGGCTGAGCGCACGGATTCACTTTTCTGCTCACCGTGTCCAGCATTTACGTGAGGTCCGTCTCCTCGCCTGCAGCCAAGCCACGCTAACCCTAACAGGTAACCATCCAACCCCGTGGTAAAAAGGGCAGCAGACAGAACGCACTGCTTTCTTTCCAATGCTGGTGCCTCCAACTACATGCGAAGCATTAAAAAAAAAAACACAGCCACGCCTCAGAGCACACTCATGTTACCAGTACAGGAAACAATCACCTGGACGACAGCCTTTCGACTCCACGTTAACAGCTTAGGTAAAAGATGAAAGAATACTTCAATACGGGTTTTTGGAATCTTACATAAACTGTTTCTTAAACAATATACTTTAAGAATACTCTTTAAAACCACACGCATTTCATTACCTAAAACTTTCACAGAACAAACACTACTCTGGAAAGCTTAAAGAAACAGCTGTAAAATGTCCTCACCAGGCCCACACTTACTCCTTCCCACGGGGTTCACTCCGAAGGGGTCTTTTCCCCGCCCTTCCCGCTGACAGCACTAA